GGGTAGATGTAACTTATAGATTAATTTTATTTCTTGAAGTGAAATTAATAAACCTTGCTTCCGTAATAATGTATTCTTTATACTTTTAATTTAGTTTATTTCAAATATTTTTCAATTACTTTTTGTGAACGTAAGGGGTAGGACCAACTGTTATCCTCTATTTCTCGACACGAAATTTGTTATTCTCACTTCTATAATAACAAATTATTAATGTATTTTGATATATTTCAAATATTTTTCAATTATTATTTATACTAAAGTAGAGAGAAATAGGTGTAACTAATAGATTCATTTTATTTCTTGAAGTGAAATTAATAAACCTTGCTTCCGTAATAATGTATTCTTCATACTTAATTAAGTATAATTTCAAATATTTTTCAATTACTTTTTGTTAACTGAAAGGGTAGGACTAATTTTTATCCTTTATTTCTTGACACGAAATTTATTTCTTTCTCTCTCTCTCTCTCTGTTATAGTTGATTCTAAAACTAAACAGAGAGAAGATGTTCTGTAGCACGTAGAATTGTCTAATTAATTAATCACAAAGAATTAGAGGTTAGCAGAGCAAAGGAAAAAGATGCCTTCAGACGTTTGCCGTACCATCTGCTTGTCCATGTGATAAAATCGTGATTTCACGCGTTTACGGTCAAGTTACGACAAACGTTGGATTAACAACGTTCATGGGTGGTACTCTAATGAGCCATGTGAAACGCATTCGAATATAACATGCAGTAACGTCAGAGACGTGTGTTACATGGTGATACGAATGTATATTTATGTATGTGCACGCGTGTATATGTGTGTGAGAGAAGTAGAGAGAGATGATATGCAATGATTAACGTGAATCTCACTGTTATATATCTAGGTCAGCCAATTTTACTTAATTTTATTTCTGACATGAGATGTATTATCCTTGTTTCTGTAATAACGTATTGTTAATGTAATTTAGTTTATTTCAAATATTTTTCAATTACTTTATGCTAACGTAGAGGGTAGATGTAACTTTTGGATTAACTGCATTTATTTCATTTTTATTATCATTTTTTCTTTGCATAATAAAGTATTCTTAATACGTAATTTATTATATTTGAAATATTTGTCAATTTCTTTATGTTACTGCATTTAATTGAATTTTATTTTTGACACGGAATTTATATTATCTTTCGGTTTCTGTAATTAGATATTGTTAATATGTAATTTAGTATATTTGAAATATTTTTCAATTACTTTATGCTAACGTAGGTGGTAGGCGTAACATTTAATTGAATTTTATTTTTGAAACGAAATTTATTATCTTCCTTT